GGAAGAATGGAATGAGTCTCAGATGTATCTGACAACACAATACGCCTTTGCTTCATCCTGTCCTGATTTGTTATTGGCCTTGTGATCCTGTCTTAGCCTGGCTGGAGCCTTATGGTGAAGAGACCTGGGACTGTGGCCTTGAGCAGCTGGTAGGGCAGTCAGACATTCTCCCCCCATGCACCACTACAACCATGGGCATGAGGTAGCCGGGTTTGGCCGGGCAGGGCAATGATTAGGCGAAGGCTAACGTGCTGTTCTGCAGAGGGTGCGACACAAACGGCACGTTACCATTTTTGTCTATTACCCCAGCGGGCTTGCCTGCCCGCAAGCGAAGTGCAGGAACCCACCCTCTGCTGCTCTAGAAGCACTGTCAACTGTCAGTAAATTTACTGAATAGAAAGCAAGCTAAAATGGCTATTAGTAAGGTTTATAAAAGAATCTTTAGCATCAGTAAAAATGTTAAGCAGCTGCCACTGGGACAGAAAGAGAAAAGCAACACATCCTGATGTACCACTGGGTGTGAAGCACCCTGAAGGGAGTGTTCTCAGCCACCAGCTGTGCTTCTGCATCCCAGGTTGCCTGTAATACTGCTGGGTCTCAGGTAGACTTCTTGGGAGTGGGGATGAAAGCTGGCAGGTGTAAAAATGGGAGAGGGAAGGGTGAGCAGCTTGGCACCGGGTGCAGTTGGGGGCATCAAAGCATGGGGTGCATAGGGGGCAGCACAGTGCAAAACAATCACTGCAGTCAACACCCCCAAAATACTTTTCTCTGTCAGCTCTTTTAGTAACAAAAAACTTTTAGTGCCTTCTACCCGGGTCCCAGCAGGAGAGCATGACTTTAAGTTTCTAAGTCTAGCGTATGTAAAACCTATCCGTAACAATAAGTGCCAGTAAAAAAAAATGCTCTTGGTAAAAAGATTGAGATTGTCATAAATTCTCGGGTTGGCAACCGTGCTGCACTCATTTACTCCTAGTCCAAGGGATTGCAGCACATACATCCTACTCAGCATGAGCTCAGCGGCTACTATGACTGACAATTTGGCACTGTGCTTTAACATTAACATGGTGGCCCTTTCTCCCATTGCCCCCGGAACCAAGGCCTCTGACAACGAACATGGACATCTCACTGAGTTCTGCGAGGCAGCTTCGCGGATTCGTGAGGAATATGAACTCTTACTTCAGAGATGTGGTGGTCCGCTTTCACTACTTCCATATTTGCATCCTGCATGTGACCCTATAGATCACCGCATATTAAAAACTTCAATACTGTTAGTCTACCATACTTCCCCGGAAAGTTGTATTATTTGGATCTTGTAGACATATCAACATATCACACCCCTTCCCTCTAACAGATTCACTGAACTGTGTGGGGGAGCTTTGTTGGTAAGGATGGCTTTATATTCCTAGCTGATCTACTATGCAATCCAAGTCTCCAACATAGAAACCATCTTTCAAGGAGAATATAGATAACTCCGGACCTAAATTTTCACAGCCCTCTTCTGATGGGATCTCTCCATCGCTGTACTGCTGTCCTCTCGGCTTTCCTTTAATTAATCGCTGCGAGTTCAACTGCATTACCTGGTTAGCAAAAGCTAACAGAAGTATAGACAATCAAAGTAGAGGTATCGTTCCAGGAAAGAGTAGTTCATAAAAAAATATCAAGGCGGGGATCAAAGGGACGCTACAGGCTTCGATTTCCCTCTCCTGACGTCTGATGAAACGATAGTACTGTCTCGTCACAGCAGGGAGATGAAAAGAGAAACAGGATGCGCAGTCTGATAGGATCTGATGGCGAAGTACGAGACCCAGGCAACAGACTTGGAATGAACGCACAGAGCATAAAGGAATGCAGAATAATGGCCTTGGAAAGACGCTGGAGCAAGTGGTGAGGAATCCCCCTGGAAACATAGTTATGAACCCGGGGGATGCAAAAATAGCAGTGAGTCAAGAGAAAGAGAAAGGCACAGGGTAAAGCAGAATCTTCCCCATGCTGAGAACTGTGAACAAACGGGATTTACTAATAAAAAATATATTAGGTGCTTCAAATATCCCCTGGAAAAAAAAATCTCCTCTATTATTATACCCTCCTCCTAAAGCACACATTTTCAATGGACTGCTATTTTGAAGGAATTCTACAATTTATTAAGTAAGAACTGGCTCCGGTTATTGCTCCTAGCATCCCTCGCTTGTTTAAATGAGAAATTAACGCTCTCTGTTACTATCTCATCTGTTGATTGAACATGGTTAATGTAATCATATAGTCCTGTTTGCAAGAATCAGTACCTACTGCACCATAAACGAAACGAAAGAAGACTTGGAAAAACGATAACACATGAAGATTCGCCAGTCGAAACAGATGAGGACCTATTCATAGAGAATGAAGGGCGGAGGAGCCCACCCAACCCTTACCTGGTCGGCGCCTTCCAAGTCGGTGGGCGCATGAGAGTCGGTGAGAAGATCCCGTTCCTTCCCGGAGCCCGTCACGACGCAGCCCCCCTGCTGCGGCGGGGCGGGCACGAGGGGCCTCAGGAACCGGAATTCGCTGCTCCCCGACCCCGTGCTCAAGCACACTTCGTATCGGTAACTCCTGGACAGGGTGCCGGTCCCCGACACATCCACCCAGTCTCTCGGCAAGTTGCCGTCGCCATACAACGTGCCGGGAGCACTGGTGTACTGCTCCCCGCCCCCTCTCCTCCGGCACACCTTGAGCAGGACAAATGTCACGACGGACAGCAGGAAGAGGAAGGACACGAGGCACAGGGAGACGGTTAGGTACATGGTTAAAGCGCCTGTGTCGGCCCCTTCGGCGGCGGCGGCGGCGGCGGCATCAGCGGACTGCAGGTAGGCGTCGGAAAAGCCGTCCACGAGCAGGATGTTGAGGGTGGCGGAGGAGGACAGGGGCGACTCCCCGCTGTCCCTGACGAGCACAATAAGCCTGTGCTTCACCGTGTCGCGCTCCGTCAGCGGCCGGCTCGTCCTCACTTCGCCGCTGTGCAGCGCCACGGCGAAGAGCCCCGGCTCCGTGGCGCGGAGCAGCTGGTAGGACAGCCAGGCGTTCTGCCCCGCGTCCGCGTCCACCGCCACCACCTTGGTCACCAGGTAGCCCGGCTCGGCCGAGCGCGGCACCAGCTCGCTCCACGCCGCCGTGCTGTTCTGCAGCGGGTGCAGCACGAAGGGCGCGTTGTCGTTCTCGTCCAGCACCACGACGCGCAGCACGGCCTCGGAGCTGAGCGCCGGGGACCCGGCGTCCGTCGCTCTCACGCCCACCTCCAGCTGCCTCGTCTGCTCGTAGTCCAGGGAGCGCAGCGCGTACACGCTGCCGTCCGCCGAGTTCACCGCCACGTAGGCGAGCACGGGCAGGGCCCCGGCGCCGGCGCCGGCGGGCACGAGCGAGTAGGTCACTCGGGCGTTGTGCTCCGCGTCCGCGTCGGCGGCGCGCACTGTGCCGATCGCCGTGCCGGGCGCCGTGTTCTCCCGCACGTGCATGGTGTAGGCCGCCTGGCTGAACACGGGCGCGTTGTCGTTGATGTCGGACACTCTCACCCTGATCCTCTGCTCGGCGGACAGGCTGGGGGCGCCCTGGTCCCGCGCCACGATCGTGATGTTGTACTCCGACACGCTCTCGCGGTCCAGCGCCCGCTCCGTGACCAGCGCGTACGAGTCCCGGAACGTCGCCTTCAGGGAGAAGGGCAGCGCGTCCTCTATGGAGCAGGCTGCCCTCCCGTTGTCCCCGGAGTCGCGGTCCCTGACGCTGAGCAGGGCCACCACCGTCTCGGGGGGCGCGTCCTCGGGGATGGGGCTGATGAGCGATGTCAGGGTCACCTCTGGCGCGTTGTCGTTCACATCCACCACCTCCACCAGGACTTTGCAGTGCGCCGACAGGCCCCCGCCGTCTGCTGCCTCAATGTAGAGCTCATAGGTCTCCCTCATTTCGAAATCCAGTTCCCCTGACAGCCGAATTTCCCCTGAGACTGCGGTCATACGGAATTCTTTGCTACTTTCCCCCCCCGCCGTCTGCTGCCTCAATGTAGAGCTCATAGGTCTCCCTCATTTCGAAATCCAGTTCCCCTGACAGCCGAATTTCCCCTGAGACTGCGGTCATACGGAATTCTTTGCTACTTTCCCTGGATTTCTGGCTGAAGGAGTAGGAGATCTCCCCGTTCGTTCCCTCGTCCAAGTCGGTGGCAGAAACAGTGACAACCAGGTAATCTCTGGGGCTGTTTTCCAGAACCTGGGCTTTGTAAGTGGCCCGGGAGAAAACGGGAGGGTTGTCGTTGGCATCGAGGACGATGACGCGGATTTGCGCAGTGCCGGACCTCGGCGGGGAGCCGCCGTCCAGGGCAGTGAGTAGCAAACTAAGCTCTGGCTGTTGCTCTCGGTCCAGGGCTTGGTCCAGCACTAGCTCCGCATGTCTCGTGCCGTCGCTCTGTTCCTCCATATGCACATGGAAATGCCCATTGGAGTTAAGGCTGTAGCTTTGAAGGGTGTTGTTTCCCACATCCAAATCCTGAGCGCTCTCCAGGGGAAACCGTGACCCAGCAGGGGTCGTTTCGAGCATTTTAAAGACGAATTCTGCTCTGGAAAAAAACGGAAAGTGATCGTTTATGTCAGTAACCCGCACCTCGGCCCGGTACGACTGCAAGGGATTCTCCAGGACTAGCTCAAAGCGAACAAGGCAGGGCTCCGTCTGCCCGCACAGCTCCTCGCGGTCCAGTTTCTCTTTGATAAGCAAGTCCCCAGTCTTGCCATTCAGCTGGAAATGCCGGCTCGCGGCGTCCGACACCAGGCGGGCCCTGCGAGCAGACAGGCTCCTGGGCTCCAGCCCCACATCCTTTGCCACATTAGCCACGAAGGACCCGCTCTCCATTTCCTCCGGCACCGAGTACCGCACCGTCTCCGAGCCGATCGCCCCCACGCACAGGAGCAGAAGGACAGACGCGGCTTGCCTGCTCCGCTTTGTTCTGCTCTCGGTGTCCGCCATTGTGTCTGCAGGAGGCGGCACGGGTCGATCCGGAAGAAATATCGCTAGTCCCGATTCATCCGACCAGCGCGATCTGCTAAGGGTTCGCTTGAGATGCGACAGGGTGAGTTGTGCCGATGTCTCCTGTGATATTCTCAAAGACAAGAGACGAGACAGCCGCTCTCCTGCTCCCGGTTCCTAGTGACAGTGTTTTCCTGCCGGAGAGCCGGGACTTCAGCTACTGCAGGTCACGCTTTCCTCGTATTAGTCAACAGCGCCACCAAGCGACAGGACGTTATGCTCGTTGCTGTTTGATTTTTTAAAAGTGTGTAAAATAATCTTTTTTAAATCACAATTGTCACGGGACAGCTTCCTAAACCAAAGTATGCGTGTTTGTACCTATGTTGTTATATATACTTGAATAAGAAATAGATGCAAGTGACAGGATAAATTTATTTCAATTTTATCATTTTATGTCTCAAAAAAGTGGGGTCTAATATGAAATGATAAGGAGAAAATCGGAAAAATTAACTCAAAATTAAGCTCCGAAATATGGTTTAAATTTCATTTTTAGAAATTATTTGAAATCCAATGGTCCCCATTACCTTTATAGAAACTTCCCAGAAAAGCAACTGTTGATGCCGGGAGCTAGAAAGGTTGGATACTTAAAACAGACTCTGGATTATAAATGTCCCTAACATAGCACGTGTAGAAAACCTTTATCTGACTGTTAGTCCAGGTGTATCGATGTGAAAATGTATAACAGGCAGTATAACCTTTTTGGTTCTAAATTCCTTATATTGGTTTCTGCTATCATTGGAGAATAGGTGTTTTCATGATGAAAACTTTTCAGCAATTAATGCATCAATTATTGTTAATAGGCAGCAGATAATTATTTCGAAAAGGTTGCTGCTTTTATTCTCTTTGATATCCCCGATGGTATCATGCCATTTTGTGCTGAGGCACAGAATATCCATCCTCTCTTGTTTCTTGTTTTATTCACATACTCGAGAGAGTACATGTAACGTGAGTGACAAGCAAACGGGGGATATATTACAAGACTATTTCCTGCAGTAATTTTCCGGCCTTTTTCACTGAGGTCACGATTGACCTACTTTATCTTCTGGTTTAGAAGTCTTTCCCGTATATTAAATACCAATCTCCATACATCTGAGCTGCATCCTCTTTGTGTTACCCATTACTCCACACGAAGAGGAACGCGTCAGCGAAGGTTACAGTTTCCTAAGGAGTTTCACAATCTGCATCCAGTGCCCTCTTAGATATCCAAGTGGAGTTCCAAAATCTATTCCATCACATGGTGGTGTGATATTAAAGCTATAGGATCTACTCCATCTCACTTGAAACTCAGCCCTGGCATGGTTCATTTCTTTACAAGCTTTCAGAAGTAAAGGGCAGGGCTACACAGAGAAACAAGTTTCCGATAGGAGAGGAGAAGAAACTCCGACACAGTAAACTGCTCTGTCCCCGCTGCCTCTCAAACTGGTAGCATGGAGGAGCATGGGCCGGAGCACGGGAGAGCCGAAAGCATGGCTGAGAAACAGGGCTGATTAAGGACGGCTACATTAATTCCAGTCGAGGAGGAAGACCCCACAGTTCACGGTGCGTTTGAATCTCGCAGGATAAGTTGTAGACGCGCTAACTTTCAGGAACGCTGCTTGAAATGTCAGGCTCCCGCCTTCAGCTCTGCTGGTCAAGATCCATGGGATTCGCTCATTCTTGGACCAAGCCTGTGGGGCAGAACTGTGCCCAAGCAACCAGGTCGCTGGGTACGGTACCTGCGATCTTCCCTTTTTGTCTGTGACCAGCGGTGAATTAGTGATTTTCTGAAGCCAAAATGCTGTTTCATTTCCACAGGAGGAACAAAAACATGTAATGTACACAAGGCTTATCCCGAACAGCCCTCTTCATTCTAAGTCAGGCCCATGTTTCAGTCGGTTTCCCCAGAATGGATCCCGAACCTCTACTGCCTTATGGAAAACAATTCTTATTTAGCTACCATTCCTTTTTTCTTTTCATATTATTTTCTTTACTTTTTAAAATACGGCCTGCACTTTTTAACATCGTTTTTGAAAAGAATAATAGTTCATCAGTCACCAGGCAGTTCAGCCATATTCCTCACTGAGCTTCTCACTATTGTTCCTCATCTAGCTCTCACGTGTTTGCGGGGAAATAACTTCTCAATCTATATTCATTCTTCCCTCTTTTTGTTCTCCTTCCACTAAATGAACACATGCATACACACAACATCCCAATGATCACCTCAAAATCCAGTCTCCCTCACTTAGAAATCAGAGGAAAGTGGAGCTGAAAGGGACCTTCAGAGATCGTTTTGTCCATCGAACTGACGGAGGCAGGAACTTCCCTATCCAGACCATCCTATAAATATCCATTTTCTAATTTTCTCACAAAACTACTATTAACGCTGACACGACAAAAGGCAAACCCCTTTAACTTACCACATGTAAGACAGAGAGACCACTGCAGCAAATAAGCTGCTTCTTTAAAATGTTACGAAAACACACTAAAAAAATACCAGGTAGACGGCCACACCCGGGCTCCAAAGGAAGGCACCCACCCTCCACTCAGTCAATATTTAACTGACCATAAGGTAAAATTCCCCCCTGGCTTCCAGTTTGAAAATTGATCTCTCACTCAGCGGAAAGGCAAAGACCTTTTGCAGCAGCCACCTACATTATGTCCCAGCAGGAGCAGTGGCATACCCCGGTAAAAATCGCCCGCCTTGGTGGGAGTAAACACCCAATGCCTCTGAGGAAGTCTTAAAGATTCTGCGTGTTTGTGGCAGAGGTGACATTCCGCCGCAGCCCCATGCATCCGTCAGCAGAGCCTGGAAGCATGGGAAATGCCCATAAAAGGGCATCCGGCATGGCCTCGCTCAGATCATACCCAATTAGTGGCTGTCCAACCTCTTCTTGAACACCCCTAGTGATGGAAACTCCGCAACTTGCTTAGGCAGCCTATTCCATTGTTCTAACTGTGGAGAATGTTTTCTTGATATCCAGTCTAGACGTACTTTGCTGAAACTTTAAGCCATGGGATCATGTCCCAGTCCCAGAAGCAAAAGAGAAAGGGTTTCTTCCACTCCTTTGTGCCAGCTCTTCAAATACTTGAAGATTGCTACTGTGTCCCTTCTGAAGTGCATTTCCCACAACCTGAACATGTTACCTCTTTCAGCCTCTCCTCATATGACCTGCTTTCCAAGTCCTTTATCATCTCTGGGCCCTCTCTTAACTTCCCCACGTCCTTTTTCCAAATGTTGAGTCCAAAATTACATACAGTACTCTAGATGACACCTAACCAGGGCCGAGTAGACAGGCAATAACATTTCCTGTTTCTTTCACCTAATGCTTCTATTGATGCATCCCAAAATTGCGTTTGCTTTTTGTGCAGCTGCATCACACTTCAGACCCATATTGAAAACATGTTTTACCCAGATTCCCAGGTCCTTTTCCATTGTGCTGCCATCAAGCCAGGTCTTACTCATTTTGTATTTACATTTTTTTATTAGTCTCCCCAGGGAGAAGCACCTTGAATTTCTCAGCATTCAACTTCATCCTCTTGGATGTGGTCCAGTTTCCAATCTGTTGTGATCCTTCTGTTATTAACATAGGAGGTTCAGGCCCCTTCAGTCTTTACAACCAATAATTAAAATCAGTAAGTCAGAAAAAAATAAATTAGAGACAAAGATACTGATGGGGCACAGTGAACTATCCTATTCTTTCTCTCCTTCCTTAATTGAAGAAACAAGGTGCACACTAAAGTATGAAAACCCCACCCACTGGAAGTATATTGGAAAGTTGAGGGGGAAGACTTGGGTTAGCCTACCATGTATCAAACAAGCACAATTAACCTTTGCTTTATTGTGTCTCGATCTGTATTGGCCATGTGATTCTGACGGCCTTTCTGAAGCCTCATGGTGAGAGATCTGGGTCTGTGGCCTTGAGCAGCTTTTAGGAAAGCACGGCATGGGCATCAAGTAGCATGGTTTGGCAGTGGGGGGCACTGGGTGGCTTAAGATGGATGTGTTGTTCTGCAGAGGGTGTAACAAAATAGCACATTATCATTTTTGTCTATTACCTTAACAGGCATGACTGCCCCCAAGCAGAGTGCAGGGACCCATTCTCTGCTGCTCTAGGAGGACCTGGAAAATCCCCTCCAGGATTGCCAAGCATAAATAAATCTGGCAAAACATGGCTCCAGGCAAATCATTAAAACAATCAGGATGAAAAAGACAGTAAAGAAACTTTAGCATCAATAAAAATACTAAGCAGCTACAGCTGGGACAGACAGAGAAAAGGAGCATCACCTGGTGTCTGCGTGGGAGCAAAGCACCCTGCAGGGAGTGTTTTCAGACATAAGCTGTTGCTTTTGCATCCCAGTTTGCTTTTAATAGCGCTGGGCCTCAGGTAGGGTTCCCTTGGGGTGTAGGCTGTGATAGGGGTGGGTAAGCCTCGACGAGATAAGAACGGGTGAGGGCTGGGGTGCAGCAGGACGTAGGGTGCAGTTGTGGCCATCAAGGTATGGAGCGTGTAGGTGGGCAGCACAGTGTAAAATTATCCCTGCACTCAATCTAGGTTTTCAACCCCCCCAAAATTACTTTTCACTGTCAATTTTACTGAAAAACTACTTTTATTTTATTGTATGTATTTTGTTTACTATTCTTACTATGGCAGATGTTTAATACCTACATCTGAATGCAGCCCTTGAACCTGGGTCCCAGCAGGAGAGCAGGGCTTGGCAGAAGAGTTACATTTACATTATAGAAAACCTATAAGAAAAAGTGTCTTAAAAATTTACTCTTGGTTAAAAGCTTGCAGATTGTCATTAAAAACAATTGGGCTGGCAACCATGCCCTGCTCATTTACCCTACTCCAAGGGATTGCAGCCAATACATCCGACCCACTGTGAGCTCAGAGGTACTATGAATATGGCAGTCTGGCATCGTGCTCTGACGCTAAACCGGTGGTTTGTGTTTCATTATAACCAGGTTATCATTTCTCCTGAGATAAATAAATGTATGCTTTGTTAGTAAATTGAAGGAGGGACAGGAGGATCATTAATATCTGGCCCTTCCAACGTTATTGTCTCCCGTGTAATGGTGGGAAAACCGAAATCTACTGCATTAGGATAAATCATGGGATGTTGTTTTCCGTGTGTTCAATGGATCCCCG